TATTTATTTATTATATATACAATATTCTGTGTACATGTATGCCTGCAGGCCAGAAGAGGGCACCAAACCTTATTGCAGATGGTTGTGAGCCACCATGTGATGTGGTTGCTGGGAATTGAACTCAGGACCTTTGGAAGAGCAGGCAATGCTCTTAACCGCTGAGCCATCTCTCCAGCCCCTTAAAATTGATTTTATTGAGCTATACATTTTTCTCTACTTTCCTAATCTTGATTTATACACACACACACATATGTATATATATAAAATCAGTCTTCTGCCTGCATTATGCTTTGATGCCAGAAGAGGGCACCAGATCTCATTATAGATGGTTGTGAGCCACCATGTGGTTTCTGGGAATTGAACTTAGAACCCCTGAAAGAGCAGCCAGTGCTCTTAACCTCTGAGCCATGTCTCTAGCTGTTGTTTTTGTTAGAAAAGCTAAAAACCTGGAGGAGATACAGTACCTTTAAAGTTGATATGTATGAGATAAATTACTGAGAAACAGATTTTTAAGGTGGTAGCTGTTTTTTTCTTTTTTCTTTTTTTGTTTGTTTTTGTTTTTGTTTTTGTGGCTATCAAATCCCAGGGCCCTTGTATGCTAGGTGAGCACTCTACATTTCTCAATCTCCAGACTTTCCATTCATGTTCCATATTTAACTAAACAATAGTCTGTTTATGAGCCAGTTTATCTGTTATTGTCTGGATTAAGGGGAGATTGTCATTTCTTTAATTTTAAAACCAAAATTTATTGAAGATTGCTCTTTAAGTTTATATGTTATTAGTTTGTTGATTCAGATATACATTAGCTACAAACAGGAGTAGGGGTAGAGTTATGTTTGATACTTTATTCCCTGGGGATAGATCTGTGCATGATACATTGATTTCTCCCTTTGGTTATTTGCAATACTTTTCCTGGGTCTTTTCGTATTTCAAAGGGTCAGAGCCCTAAACTATTCTGTTAAATTGTCTGTTTGGTATGGTAGAGTGTCTTAGAAATTGGCTTCATGATTGAGCTGTATTTGTTCTTATAACTCTGTGTCAGTAACTTTGCAGGTGGGTGTCCCAAGGCCATATCTGCTTTTGTGCTATAACAAGAACTTACTGATTTCTTTTGATGTTGCTGAGGCATAACTCATAGCACCATAGTGACCCTCTGTGGGAATTTCTTTCCATCTCCCTGAGGTCTCTACCTGCCAGAAAGTGGACGTATCTTTTTTTTTTTTTTTTTTTTTTTTTTTTTAAGACAGGGTTTCTCTGTGGTTTTGGAAGCTGTCCTGGTACTAGCTCTTGTAGACTAGGCTGGTCTCGAACTCACAGAGATCCACCTGCCTCTGCCTCCCAAGTGCTGGGATTAAAGGCGTGCTCCACCACCGCCCGGCCTAAGGGGGCGGTATCTTAAGGTAGTGCTCACATACAACATATTAGCACAGTACTCCCTGCTTCGAGTGTGGTCCACATTTCTAGGGTCAAACATAGGAACTAGACAGCAGGTGTTTATGGGGTGTTTTGTTTTGCCTTTATGCCAAATGCAATGTGTTGTACCAGAATGCAGACTTGTTTTTCCACCTTATGAACATAGATAATGCTGAGTTTGCAGCAGAGAGCGCAGAAACGTGCAAGCTACATCCTGCGTCTTGATGAGATCAGCCCTTGGTTGGCTGCCATGACTAACACTGAAATTGCACTTCCTGGCGAAGTCTCAGCCAGAGACACTGTGACAATTCACAGTGTGGGAGGAACCATCACCATCTTACCAACTAAAACCAAGCCCAAGAAACTCCTCTTTCTCGGCTCAGATGGGAAGAGCTATCCTTACCTTTTCAAAGGTAGAGTTAGAACTAAGTTATGTTTTTAAGACAAACATATGATTGTTAACGGTGTATGTATGTGTATGCCTGTGTGTGTGTCCATGTGAGTTGGCATGCACATTTAAGATAAGCCTGTTGTAGATGAAATTCTGTATTATGTCTTGTGTGATTTTGAATGGCATTTAGCTGCATGTCACAATATTTCACCCTCTGTACCTTGCTTATGAATTTATATAAGCAGACCAACTATGTGCAACTTAGTGTGAATAACTAATGCTAATACCACTGAATAGAGTTTGTTGATGTTTATAGGTCCGCCTTAATTGTTTATTATTCTTAACTGAAAATGCAGGCAATGGTATATTCCCAGACCTGTTTGTTATCCATCCTGGTAATTTTGGTTTTGTTTTTTATAGGATTGGAGGATTTACATCTGGACGAGAGAATCATGCAGTTCTTATCTATTGTAAATACCATGTTTGCTACAATTAATCGGCAGGAAACACCCCGTTTCCATGCACGACACTATTCTGTAACACCACTGGGAACAAGATCAGGACTGATCCAGTGGGTGGATGGAGCCACGCCATTGTTCGGTCTTTACAAACGATGGCAACAGCGGGAAGCTGCCTTACAAGCACAAAAGGTTGGGTAAATTTCAAGTGCACCTGTATTCTTACTAGACTGTGTATGAACAAGTATGTGTCAGGGCATTCTCAGGTGACTATGTAAAGTCAAGCGTATTTGTATGCTTATAATGGCTTATCAAGTTGTGGTGAGATATTCCTTATTGGGCAGTAAAGTTTAAAGATATGTAGTTGCTAATTGCTCAGAAATTTGATATTTCAGATTTTAAACGCTCTTATGAGCTTTTAAATTAAATTAATAGATAATAGAAAACTTTGAAACCCCTATTACTTCCAGTATTTAAATAAGAAAGTTTGACATGGACCTACTTGATCACTACAGTGTCCTATTTTGTACCTGTGAATTTTATCATTTGATTCAGACTGTGTATCTGGGCAGTTTATATGATGCTAAGCAGCGAAACTAAATGAGGTCCCAGGTTAGCCAAAGCCACTGTGCAGGCAGCCGATAAGAGCTGTTGGAGCTGGAAGGGGTCATATTTGCTTTTTTTCATTTTTATTGTTGTGTTTGGGCATCTAATTCCATGGCCCCAAGATTACCAAACCCACTTGTATCTTTAGCCTGGGAAGTTGAGTTTTAAAGTAAGCACAGACCTATAATACAGTTAATGAAGAGTAAGATAAAGTTAGTGGCTAGTGGGACTGTTTTTAAACTTTGGAACTTATTTCTTAATAGCTATGTTTATTTCATACTGAGTTTATCATCAGTGAAGACTGAAAATACGTACTAGTGGGTTATGCCTTTATAAATGAATTGTGTTATTAAAAAATAAATTGAATTTTAAAATGAACTTTCAAAAAATGCTTTATAATATTTGCTTTTCCTCAAGTAAAATTAATCTTTTCTTTAAAAAAAAATTTAAGGCCCAAGATTCCTACCAAACTCCTCAGAATCCCAGCATTGTACCTCGTCCTAGTGAACTTTACTATAGTAAAATTGGCCCTGCTTTGAAAATAGTTGGCCTTAGCCTGGATGTATCAAGGAGGGATTGGCCCCTGCATGTGATGAAGGCAGTGTTGGAGGAGTTAATGGAGGCCACACCCCCAAACCTCCTGGCTAAAGAGCTCTGGTCATCTTGTACCACTCCTGATGAGTGGTGGAGAGTCACACAGGTACGCAGCACTTCGGGTTAGGTGTACCATTGTTACTCTGGCTGTGTGTGATCTGATCCTCTTTGTCAGCTTTTCTGGTTTTTTCTCTTTCTTCCAGACTTTATAGTCGAGTCCTGTATTTGAATGTTACTTGAGAGTTATAAAAGTGTGGCTATGACTGTGAGGGAAGGGTGGAAGGGATGATGGATGAAATTAAAAGGTGAATATTGAAAGCTGAAGTTCTTTATTTTAAAAGAAATGGCGGTTGGGATGAGCATGGACTCCACCTCTCAGGGCCAGAGGCAGGCAGATAATCTGTGTGTTTGTGGTCAGCCTGGTCTGCATAGAGAGTTTCAGGCTAACCAGGGCTACGTAGTGAGACCCTGTCTCAAGAAAACAAAGACAAAAACCTGCCACAGTATTCTTGAGGATGGTGATGGAGCTTACTGGCTAGGAGTGTGTACTGCTTTCAGGGAACCCAAGTTTGGTTCCCATTACCCACGTCAAGAGGTTGACAACTGCCTGTTTGTTACTCCTGCTCTGGGGGATTTGATGTCTTTATATCGGCTTCTCTGGACTGCACTAATGTGCACTTCCACACACATAGATGTAATTAAAAATTGAACTAAATCCTTAAAAACAGCTACTTCTCTCCTGAGCATGCCTCTGAAGTGCTTTGTGGTTATTGTCTTATTTTAGAACAGGGGAGTAGGGTTATGGCATTATATTGATTTTTAGATTATCTAGTGCCTGTTGGAAGAAGATTGGCTCATGATGTTCACCTGTTCCCTTCCCATCTTTAGTCCTATGCAAGATCTACTGCTGTCATGTCTATGGTTGGTTACATAATTGGCCTTGGAGATAGACATCTGGATAATGTCCTCATAGATATGACAACTGGAGAAGTAGTTCACATAGATTACAATGTTTGCTTTGAAAAAGGTAAGATAAAATATGCTTTTGCATTTATTTGAAGGTCAGTTTTTTTTGATGTTAAGGGCAAAAATATAATGATTTATCTTTTCAAGGTAAAAGCCTTAGAGTTCCTGAGAAAGTGCCTTTTCGAATGACACAAAACATTGAAACAGCACTGGGTGTAACTGGAGTAGAAGGTGTTTTTAGGCTTTCCTGTGAGCAGGTATGCTTTTCCTCTTTTGCCCTGTAGCATAACTGTTTAATGAGCAAAATCCATGGGATGAAGTTTTAAAACATTTTCATGTGGAAGCCTATATTGAGTTTACTGAAAATACTTCTAAAAATAGGTTCTCCACATCATGCGGAGAGGCCGAGAGACTCTGCTGACGCTCTTGGAGGCTTTTGTGTATGATCCCCTCGTGGACTGGACAGCTGGTGGTGAAGCTGGGTTTGCAGGTGCTGTCTATGGTGGAGGTGGCCAACAGGCTGAGAGCAAGCAGAGCAAGCGAGAGATGGAACGTGAGATTACCCGCAGCCTCTTTTCTTCCAGAGTTGCTGAGATTAAGGTGAAGCCCAGGGATATAATATCACTGTAATTTTTTTTTTTAAAGCAGTGCAAATGGGCATAAGGGTTGAGTATGTTAGGGCTTCTCTGGGTATAAGGAGTCCACATCATCTCTGTTAGGCTGGTCCTCCCACACAGACACACTTACACTCTTTGGAATTAATGGTATGTTTCACCATCAAACACTTTGTTTCTATTTGAATAATTGAATAGCTTTTCTTCCCTTTCAATAGTTACAGATCTCAGGTTTATTTTCTGTGGCCTGTGAATCTGTTTACTTACTGCTAGGTAATGTACATGTATTGATTATCTTTGTAAAATGGGGGCATTACCACAAACCCAGTTCTTAGGACTTTAGCTAAAACAAACATACAGGTGTAACAACCTTTACAGTTTATCTAACCTCTGACAGTTCCTAAGTCTTCCTGATCACAACCCTTTTTCCAGGTGAACTGGTTTAAGAATCGGGATGAAATGCTGGTTGTGCTTCCGAAACTAGACAGCAGCTTAGATGAATACCTGAGCCTACAGGAGCAGCTGACAGATGTTGAAAAACTGCAGGGCAAACTACTGGAGGAAATAGAATTTCTAGAAGGAGCTGAAGGAGTGGACCATCCATCTCGTACTCTGCAACACAGGTTTAAAATAATAATTGATTTGTACTTCTCAGTATGTGCTAACAGAATTTTTGTATTCATTTAAACGCTTGTGCAGTGGCAGTTACTGCATTTGCTTTTTTGAGCTTAACAAAAGCATACAGGAACTAGAGAGATGGCTCAGAGTTAAGAGCACTGGCTGATCTTACCTAGTACCAGGGTTTGGTTCCCAACCCCCTGTGGTGTTTCACAAGTCTATAAATTGAGTTCTAGATGATCCAGTCCTCTTCTTACTTCCCTGGGCTCTTACACATAAACTTTATGGAGACATGCTCACATGAAAATAATAAGTAAATAAATCTTCAAAAAGCATATAGCTAGAGGGATCCCGGTAAATGACCCTCACGTAGCAGATACCCCAATAGTTGAATATATGCAAGTACCTAGCATTGCTACAAGCTCTCAGACTACAAAGATCCAGCAATTTCCTTTCAAGGAATCACAAACTCAGCATATGTGTTAGAGTTTATTTAAAATGTTGTGATCGTAGTTGAGGAAATTGCAGTGTTGGAGCAAAGTGGAAGAGGAAGGGGACTTTGAACAGGGCCCTTGAGATTCAGAAGGTGCTAGCCTGGCGGCGGTGGCGCACATCTTTAATCCCAACGCTTGGGAGGCAGAGAGAGACAAGTGGATCTCTGAGTTCAAGGTCAGCCTGGTCTATAGAGCAAGTTCAGGACAGCCAGGGCTACACAGAGTAACCCTGTCTCAGAAACACTCCCTCCCCACAAAGGCATTAACTAGACTTAAATTTTCGAAAAGTCCAGTTTTTACTAGATAGAAGAAAGAGCTACAAGTGATCTTTGGCTTTGGTTTCCTGATCAGATATTCTGAGCATACTCAACTACAGACCCAGCAAAGAGCTGTTCAGGAAGCAATCCAGGTGAAGCTGAATGAGTTTGAACAGTGGATAACACATTATCAGGCCGCATTCAATAATTTAGAAGCAACCCAGCTTGCAAGTTTGCTACAGGAGATAAGCACACAAATGGACCTTGGTATGTGAGCATGTGGGTTCTGACATTGTATATATTTGAAAGGATGGGATTCTAATCTGTGCTCTCAATGACTACTGACATGAAATGGTTTCTTTGTGACTATCTTTACTACAAGGGCCTCCAAGCTATGTACCAGCAACAGCCTTTCTACAGAATGCTGGCCAAGCCCACCTCATCAGCCAGTGCGAGCAGCTGGAAGGGGAAGTTGGCGCTCTTCTGCAGCAGAGGCGTTCTGTGCTCCGTGGCTGTCTGGAACAGCTGCATCACTATGCAACTGTCGCTCTGCAGTATCCAAAAGCCATATTTCAGAAACACCGAATTGAACAGTGGAAGGCCTGGATGGAAGAGCTCATCTGCAACACCACAGTAGAGCGTTGCCAAGAACTCTATAGGAAGTAAGTTGAAGGCATCTTTTTCTCTTCTTTGCACACTGAGGGAAGCAAGGTTGTGTTATAGGTGGCTATCTTAATTAGGGCATCTTTCTTTTGCTATGATAAAGAATATAACTGGGCTGGAGAGATGGCTCAGAGGTTAAGAGCACTGAGTATTCTTCCAGAGGTCCTGAGTTCAATTCCCAGCAACCACATGGTGGCTCACAACCATCTGTAATCAGATCTGGTGCCCTCTTCTGGCCTGCAACATACATGCAGGGAAAAGTCTGTATATATAATTAATAAACAAATTTAAAAAAAAAGAATATAACCAACAGCAACTTGAGGAGGAAGTAGTGTATCTTACATCTTATTAGGCCAAAGCAGCTTCTTTTTTAACCAATGGTAATAAAACAGATTCACAGTGTATAGAGGGGAATCCCACAATAGCCCAGCATCAAAGGAAGAAAGGGTAGGAATTCAAGGCAGTAAACCTGGAGGGAGGGACTGATGCAGAGACCATGGAAGAAGATTGCTTACTGCTTTTTTTGCTCAGCCTGCGTCGATGGGTTGGCACCATCTTTTGTAGGCTGTGCTCTCCCACATTAATCATTTAGCAGGAAAATGCTCTAAAGACTTTCTTACAGGCTATATAGTAGTCATTTTCTCCTGAGGTTGTTCTTCCCAAATAAGTCTAGGTTTATATCAAGCTGACAGAAACCAACCAGCACAGTTGCATTTTTTTTTCCTAAAAAATGATTAATATAAGTTGATTTGTTTTTGTTTCCTTTTTTTTTCTTTAAACCCTGCTCTTTGAAACAGTTTGTCCTATGTCAGCCTTCCAAGTAGCTGAGGTTACAGGTTCATGCTAGCACCCCCAGATATCTATCTATCTATCTATCTATCTATCTATCTATCTATCTATCTATCTATCTATCTAATCTTTGATTTTTCAAGACAGGGTTTCCTGTAGGTTTAGAGCCTATCCTGTAGACCAGGCTGGCCTCGAACTCACAGAGACCCATCTGCCTCTGCGAGTGCTGGGATTAAAGGCGTGCACCACCACCACCCAGCTTATTTATTTATTTTTCTTAAGAGGATGCTTATCCATAAAGGCAGACTGACTCAAACTACTAAAGACTTGAATATGATTCAGTGTTGTAAATATGGCATGTGTAAGACTATAGGTTCTATTCCTACAGTACTGCAGAGGGAGATAGAGGGTATTAATGTGAGTTCATTCAGGGTTTCTCTTTCAAGCCGCAAACACTGTTTTTCTTAATTAGTATATACAAATGTTAGCATGGCAGGATTATTTAAGGAAGTTACTCATCATTGATTGTATTACCCCATAAGCCATCTTACAAAATAGCTTATGTTCTTGAGAGTTTATATGAAATGCAATTAATAATTTGTATTTTTTTTTTAAGAGAGGTGTGCTTTATTAGTGTCCTGTGTGCTTCTCTGTGGTCAGGTTAACACTGCACATTAGCCTTTAAGCCTGTTCATAAAGTCTCAGTGAATCCTATGTAACTTCCCATTTATAACAAGTTTAGTGCTCACCTGACTGAGTACATGATCACTTGGCACCTTGTTATTCAGTGATCATGTTCTGTAACTAACAATGCATTCTTGATGTTTAGGCTTTGATGTTTTCATGTTTTTTCTTCTTTTTATGTGACATGTAAGATAAGCAAATAAGAGCAAGAACAGAACTTTACTCCTTGTCAAAATTATGTATGAAGCATAATAGATTATCAATAATTTGTAATTTTTGAGGATAGAATGCAATTTTTCTGTATATTTTATAGTGTGAATATTATTTACACGTAGGGGAATATTAATATAAGCAAGCACCTGCTTTGTTTTTATAGGTATGAAATACAATATGCTCCTCAACCACCTCCAACAGTGTGTCAGTTTATCACTGCCACTGAAATGACCCTTCAGCGGTATGCAGCAGACATAAACAGCAGACTGATTAGACAAGTGGAACGCTTGAAACAAGAAGCTGTCACTGTGCCAGTTTGTGAAGATCAGTTAAAAGAAATTGAGCGTTGCATTAAAGTTTTCCTTCACGAGAATGGAGAAGAAGGGTCTCTGAGTCTAGCAAGTGTCATCATTTCTGCCCTTTGTACTCTTACAAGGTGAGCTAGCATGCTTCATACTAGATCATTGTTTTGTTTTAATCCCAAATTTAGAATACTATTAGTTTTGGCTTGTGTTAGAGTCACTTTGTTTCAGATTTTTAACTCTTCTTTAGTCTATATAACACCTAATCATATCTGTTTTTATTGCCCACATAGGCGCAACCTTATGATGGAAGGTGCAGCTTCAAGTGCTGGGGAGCAACTGGTTGATCTGACATCCCGGGATGGAGCCTGGTTCCTGGAGGAACTGTGTAGTATGAGTGGAAATGTCACCTGTTTGGTGCAGTTACTGAAGCAGTGCCATCTGGTACCACAGGACTTGGATATTCCCAACCCAGTAGAAGCATCTGAAGCTGTTCATTTAGCCAACGGAGTATACACATCCCTGCAGGTGAACATGTATACATTTTATAAGTTGGGTTAGGAACATAGTTCGGTTGGTAGAGTGCTTGCTTAGCCTGCAAGGAACTCTGGGTTTGATCCCTAGAACCACATAACCAAGAGTGGTTGCAAATGCCTATAATCCCAGTATTCAGGAAGTAGAGGCAGGAAGATCAGAAAGTTAAGGTCATCCTCAGTTTTGAAATTAGGTCTTAAAATAACAACTTCAACAAACAACCCAGCAGCAGAACAGATCATCAGGAAAGACAAGGCCCCAAGTTTTCTAAGTTGAGGTCTTGCTTAAAATTGTATGCACATAAAGCAGTGATGGGATGAGGTTTGCAGTTAATTCAACTGTTGAATATTGCTTAAGCATCCATTTAAAACAAGGATTGGAGCATAGGTCTTTTGTTTTTGTTTTGCTTTTTAATTTTTTGAAACAAGGTTTCTCTGTGTTAACAACCCTGGCTATCCTGGAACTCACTCTGTAGACTAGGCTGGTCTTGAATTCAGAGATCCACCTCCTGAGTGCTGGGATTAAAGACATGTGCCACCACTGTCCGACCAGAGTGTGGCTTTGTATAATTTTTTTTGGTTTGTTTTTTGAGTTGGGGGTCTCATTTCCCTTTTTATATATTTTTTTTAACTTTTTGAGGTAGGGTTTTCTCTGTGTTAACAACCCTGGCTGTCCTGGAACTCACTTTGTGACCAGACTAGCCTCAAACTCACAGAGATCCACCTGTTTCTGCCTCCTGAGTGCTGGGATTAAAGACAGGAGCCACTGTAGTTTGGCCAGAGTGTAGGTTTGTATACTTTTTTTTTTTTTTTTTTAAGACGGGATCTCATGCAGCTCTGGCTGGCCTGAATTCTCACCATGTAGCCCATGCTGGGCTGGAACTCCTGCCTCTGCCTCCTAATCCCAAGAGCTAAGATTAAAGGTGTGTACCACCACACCCAACCTAACAGTTTTTAGTTTTTGGAGGCAGGGTCTCTCTTTGTAGCCTTGGCTGGTCTGGAATTTACCATGTAGTCTATCTCAGATTTATGGCAACCCTCAAACTTGCAGCAGTCCCTCTGACTCTGTTTCCTTAACACTAGGATTGCAAGTGTGTGCCACAATGCCCTGTATGAGTTGTTTTTAATTTATGGGAGTGCATTATCAAATGTATAACTTATCTAAAATTTGGGGAAACATTAATATATATATATATTCTCTTTATAGGAATTAAATTCAAATTTCCGGCAAATCATATTCCCAGAAGCACTTAGATGTTTAATGAAGGGGGAATGCACCTTAGAAAGTATGCTACATGAGCTAGACAGTCTCATTGAGCAGACAACTGACGGAGTTCCTCTGCAGACTCTAGTTGAGTCGCTTCAAGCCTACTTACGAAACACAGCCATGGGACTTGAAGAAGAAACTCATGCTCATTATATCGATGTTGCCAGGTAAGCGTGCTAGCCAGCTAGATCAGCAGTGGTGACACATGCCTGTAATACCAGGGCCTTGAAGACTAAGGCAAGGACATGGCCAGTTTGAGTCATCCTGTCAGAGAAAAAGAGAGGTGGTAGGAATTAGGAGGCAGCCAGGTAATGAGATTCTGAGCTCTAACCTAATTAAATTTACTTTCAATTTTTAGGACAAATCTGATTACTGATACATGTTCATGCCTTTAAAAAAACAAGTCCATTACTTCATAATAATTACAGATTCATTAGAGATTGTCTACAGTCACGTGCAAGTTCATCTCTTGTCTGACCTTACTTGCATGTTTATTGCTTATAGTACAATAGCAGTGTCATGAAATGGGCAGTGGGGAAGTCACAAAACATGCTTGTATTTCGCTAATAACACATACTCATTTTAGTGTCTGTTCCCTTTAGTAGCTTTATACAGGTCTTTGTTGTGCACACCACTACCTTTTTGTTGCTATAGCTACATGTATATGCATAAAGTTCAGTACGTGTATTGGGTTGTTTTATTTTTTGCTATTTGTGTGTCTGGGGGTTGGGGTGCTCTGGTGCACATGCGGAATTCAGAAGGCATATTTATAGAGTCAGTTCTCTGCTTCCACTTTTACATGGATTCTGGAGCCTAACTTAGGTTGTTGGGCTTGTTTGACAAGTACCTTTAGCATGTGAGCTCTTTTGCCAGCTCTCAGTGTGAGTTTTTTTTTAAGCCATTGAAGCATCTGAGGTGAACTTGACTGATGAAATGGGTACCCCACATCAAGCAAAGTTTTAATTTAGTTCATATTTATGTTTGGGAGATTAAACATTGTATGCTTTTCTATAATCCAGAAAGACAGTTGGACTTTGGAACCCATTAAGGTTACATAGCTCTCCAGATCTACATTGTTGTTGTGACTGAGCCCTATGCCCCCTTGTTAGTTTAGAGATTTAGGATCTCTTTCTTTAGCATTCTGACATTGAATTCACTGCAGAAAATATAAGTGGGTGAGGGGCATGGAGGGACAGAAATAATGCCCACTTGATTTCCTTACATGGGAATTGCAAATTCCTTACATAGCAAAGGAAGGAGTGAAGATTTTTTTCCCCCCTCACATGTGATGTCTGCATCTGCTCATTCTGGTTTATATTCTTTCCCTTGTTTAATTTTTATTATGTATGGGGAGGTTCTCTTGCCACTGTACACATATACAGGTCAGAGGAACTACTTTGTCAGTTGCATGTACCTTTTTTGGGTTCTGTGGAATGTACTCAGGTCGTTGGGCTTTGATAACCTGATAGGATCTGCCTTTATCTAGCCATTCTAACAGCCTCCCCTTTAGTTATTTTGAAGTATTTTTCCCCTATGATTTTTTTCTTAAATAATACAGGAAATATAAAATATGAACATATCTTTCAACAAAAATGTAGGAACAATTCCTTCATGTCAGTGCTGCGTTTAGAAATTCTCCTTTTTCCCCTGTTACTTTTCAGCTGTAGCTTCATAAGAGTATAATAACGTAGACAGGTACCAGCTAAAAGTTGTTTAAAATATTCACATAACAGCAGTATCATCATTTTAAGCAATGGTTAAAAATTTGATTTAAGCTGAGTAGTGGTGGCCCAGAGACGGTGGACCTCTGAGTTCAAGGCCAACCTGGTCTATAGAGTGATTTCTGGGACAGGCTCCAAAACTACAGAGAAACCCTGTCCCCGCCTCGCTTTCCCTCTGCCCCCCCCCCCAAAAAAAAAGTTGGCTTAAATTGGCGTATCTTTTTTTTTTTTAAATATTTATTTATTATGTACACAGTGTTCAACCTCCATGCCTGCAGGCCAGAAGAGGGTACCAGATCTCATTACAGATGGTTGTGAGCCACCATGTGGTTGCTGGGCATTGAACTCAGGACCTCCGAAAGAGCAGTCAGTGCTCTTAACCTCTGAGCCATCTCTCCAGCCCCTCGGCATATCTTTTACTGAATTTCAGATCTCACTTTATTTGCTGTGTGTTTGGGTGTGTGAATGCAAGTACATGTGCCCATGTCTGTACATGTAGAAGCTAGAGGTTGATGTCGAGTGTCTTGCTGTATTGTTCTGCTTTTCTTTTCTTTATTTTATTTTATTTTTTTAAATTGTAAGAGTCACTGGCTGTACTTGCAGGATCCCCCTGTCTTGGCCTCCCATTGCTGGGTTCATAGTCATGGAACACCATGCCTTGCTGTTTATGAAAGTTGTCATCTGCCATGCTCAAAAAAAATTTTTTTTTTTTTTTGGTTTTTCGAGACAGGGTTTCTCTGTGGTCAAAAATTTTTTTTTTAAGTTTTGAAATGTGCATAATTCAAAACTGCATATTCCAAGTGGCAGGTACTTCCATTACTGTCTAAAGTTAGTTCCAATTGCCTGGCTACGACACCATTGCACCTGACAATTTCTATAGGTCTATACTTTAGAATTAGGTTATTCTTGACAGTCTTCTATATTAATGTAGTATTTTTTAAGGTATTACTCACACTTTTGTAAAATTTAGGTCACATAAGTAGTTATTACATATTATTAAAACTGAATTGAAGTCATGGATTTTATAATGCAGTTGGCACTAAATACTATTTTCTCATAGCAGTTCCCATAATGCTAGCCTCTGTAGACTTTGCACAGCAGCTCTGAGACTTACAGGCTTTTGTGTTGCCCCTTCAGGTGTTCTCCTTCAGGTGAGGTTTTTAATACCCTTTTCTTTTTCTCTAGAATGCTGCATGCTCAGTATGGTGAATTAATTCAACCAAGAAATGGTTCAGTTGATGAAACACCAAAAATGTCAGCTGGCCAGATGCTTTTGGTAGCATTTGATGGCATGTTTGCTCAAGTTGAAACTGCTTTTGGCTTATTAGTTGAAAAGGTAAACATTAACTTGGTTTTATGAAAGGTGTTAAGTGCAGTAGTCATTTACAGGAAAGTGAACATTCCTTCTTTCTTTTTGCATAGTTAAACAAGATGGAAATTCCTGTAGCTTGGAGGAAGATTGATATTATCCGGGAAGCCAGGAGTACCCAAGTCAATTTTTTTGATGATGATAATCACCGTCAGGTGCTAGAAGAGATTTTCTTTTTAAAAAGACTACAGACGATAAAGGAGTTCTTCAGGCTCTGTGGTACCTTTTCTAAAACGTTGTCAGGTAATATTAGCATACTGGGTTAGGCTGTGTTAGCATTTTCGAAGGGATTGTGATGGAGCAGGCTTGTTTTATTTGCACACATGTGAATTCTCAGTGCTTCAGATAAGCAGTTTAATCTTAACATTCAGGACCTGTTTTAAGATGATTTTTGTTTTTTAGGATCAAGTTCACTTGAAGATCAAAATACAGTTAACGGACCTGTGCAGATTGTCAATGTGAAAACCCTCTTTAGAAACTCTTGCTTCAGTGAAGACCAAATGGCCAAGCCTATCAAGGCCTTTACAGCTGACTTTGTAAGGCAGCTCTTGATAGGACTTCCAAACCAAGCCCTTGGGCTCACACTGTGTAGCTTTATCAGTGCCCTAGGTGTAGACATCATCGCTCAGGTGGAAGCAAAGGACTTTGGTGCTGAAAGCAAAGTTTCTGTAGATGATCTGTGTAAGAAAGCTGTAGAGCACAACATCCAGGTAGGGAAGTTCTCACAGTTGGTTATGAACAGGGCTACTGTGTTAGCTAGCTCCTATGATACAGCCTGGAAGAAGCATGACCTGGTGCGCAGACTGGAAACCAGCATTTCTTCCTGTAAAACAAGCTTACAGCGGGTGCAGCTGCACATCGCCATGTTCCAGGTGAGCAGTTTGCTGTTTAGTGTGGTTTTCCTTACACACATGTATGCCAGTGTAAAAAAATATATATAAACTGCCTCAACTGTGCCAAACCGAAGTGAATACTTTTGGGATTATTTTTGTGTTTGCAGTTAATGTGTTGAGTAACAATGAGTATTGATCATGAATATAATTTGTAACAGTTGTATTTATTCATGATGTAGGTTGATCTTCATCCTGTATTATTGGATTATGATTAAATTTATCTTTAAATAGGTTTTATGATGCTCTCAAATACAATATATAGCTTTGGATCTAAGTAAATCTGCCTTTATTTTGAAAACTGCTTATAGATACTTATTTTCTCATGTTAGCACAGGCTTTGGGATAACAGATTAGGTTCTAACCAAACCTAGTTCTGATATCCTACCTATAGATAGAGGGGTGCTATCCCTTGTGGAAGATGACTTGTGAGGGTTAGGCAACTATCTGTGAAGATGGTATGCACAGTGTGACTGAGGGATGGCTTCCTTATTTATTCTTTGATAAATATAGGCTTTGACAATATCAATAGCATCAAAAAAGTTAAAGGCATTGGAGCATGTTAGTTTTTGGAATCAGTTTTGGCATAAGCAGTGGTTATTTTGTTTCACTTTGGTCAGTGAAACTGTCTTTCTTCTATTGGTGGTTTTATTTTCACTAGCTATTTTCTTACTTCATATTAGTTGTGTATTTTAAATTGACAGTTAACGTTAAGGGAAACTTGTTAGGAATCCTCTCCATTTTTAAATTTGGGCACACTTAAACTGTAAGCATAATGTATACTATTAGATTATCATCTGCTATTTGGTGCTAGGAATCAAATCCAAGGCCTTACACATTATGTTAGATGCATCACTAAACTATACCCCCAGCTCCTGTATTAGTTGTAGCCCAAATGACTGTCAGAACATTAAAAAAGAAAAATGGTTTGATAGTGTGAAGAGTTCTTTTTCTGTCTTTGCTAGACAATCCTACTAGACCCAAAACTAATTTCACTGCATCCTCTTACCTAGAGATTGACACACACATCATAAAGACAAAGTATACTTTTTAAAAGTTATTTTGTTTTTAAACGTAGCTCAAGCTGACCTGAAACTTGTTATCCTCCTATCTCAGTCTTGGCAAGTGCTGGGATTACAGGTTTATGCCACTAGATCTGGAAAGGTCAGTTGTCTTTGGGCATGCCTACCTAATATAAGACTTACCAGCTGTCTTAAGAATTCCTGTTTGAAGGTATTAGTGATCTCTGAGGTTTACTAGTATTCTCATGTCAGGAAATTCTCAGTTGGATGTGATACTTCTTTCCTGACTAATGGTCCCTTCACTGCCACTCAATTTTCTGTCTTCTCCCAGTCTTACCTCATGCTACCCTTTGCTTATTTATCTGAAGTTTTGTTCTACTAGTACTACATTCCTTTTTTCTTTAAATAGTGGCAACACGAAGACCTCCTTATCAATAGACCACAAGCCATGTCGGTCACTCCACCTCGGTCTGCAATCCTGACCAGCATGAAGAAGAAACTGCATGCTCTCAGTCAGATTGAGACTTCGATTGGGACTGTTCAGGTGAGTTTGACTGTCTTGCTATTAGCACATTCTGATTTGCCAAGTAACTAACTAGTGACGTTCATTGTATTTGTGTCTGTCTTTGACTTCTAAGCCAAGGGAGTATAACATAATCCCTTTTCACTTTCATTTTAATTTTTAAAAAAATTTTTTTGTTGTTTTTAGTGAAAATGAAGAGCTTTTCATAGAATATATTTTGGCCAGTTTCCCCTCCCTCATCTCCTCCAGAGCCTCCACCTCCCACTCTTTTAACACCATACCTTCTTTCTCTCATAAGAGAACAAATAGATAATTTTTTTTCCCTCTTACTCTCCAAGGCCAGGGACTCTTACAGTAATGATTTCACTGTTTACTTTGATACTTGGTTGCTTCTGTAGATAAGGGTTTAATATGTTCAAGGTAGCAGGCATGTTTCTAAATGATTGTTACTGGTTATATGCTTTCAGCTGTGTTGAAAACAAACTAGTTAATTTTTTTTTAAATAACGCTGGTCTTGAAGACTTAGGTATATAACTCAGATAGTTGGTGACATTTCTGATTATATAATTTAATAGTATAATATGAAATGCAATATTAATATAGTATTTATAAATTTTTTTGTATGTTTGTTTTTTTGAGATAGGGTTTCTGTATAGCTCTGACTGTCCTGCAACTCTTTCTGTAGACTAGGCTGGCCTCAAACTCAGAGGTCTAGCCGGGGTGGTGGCGCACGCCTTTAATCCCAGCACTCGGGAAGCAGAGGCAGGCGGATCTTTGGGAGTTTGAGGCCAGCCTGGTCTACAAGAGCTAGTTCCGGGACAGGAACCAAAGCTACAGAGAAACCCTGTCTCGAAAAAACGAACCAAAAAAACCTCAGAGGTCTGGTGCTGGGATTAGAGGTGTGTGCCACCACCGACTGACTGGCTGTATTTTAAATTTTTTTTTTTTTTTTTTTTTTTTTTTTTTTTTTTTTTTTTTTTTTTTTTTTTTTT